ATCATATCAGTAAGTAATAACAAGTTATTTGCATGTTAATTATAGCATTAGCATAACGCGTGCGTAGTGTTATATTAATGTTCGATTTCACATGCAAAGAAAATCTACAGAGTCACAAACATCGCGATGCTTGCTAGGTTCTTTGCATATATTAAAGCTGGGGGTCGTCACCTGCGCAAGCGCGGGAATTGAGTCCCAAGCGACGATAATAACACACGCTAAAAACGCTAAGGCTCATGGATAGACACTTGTTTGTAAACAATGACACGCTATGGCCATCTGACGCATGTGCAGATGACGACTCCCCCGCTTTAACCTCCGAGTGTTTATTATTGCACGATGACCAAAGTAATATTGACTTGTAGGTATAATGTGCCACGTTAATGACCTATGTGCCGGTTATTCACAGGTTACGCAGAAATGGGAAGTTATTACATCTTTGAGAGTCTGTACATGGACGCCATTCCCCATACGACGTTAGAGGGCAATACGTCATGTGGAATACCGGGACCGGAAACATGGCATATTATACGTCCCGTCGATTCTTCAATGCCATGGCCAGGAGTCATTTTTGGTATCCACATTTTAAGTATGTATTACTTCTGTGCTAATCAGGTAAGACATGTTTTGCAGGATAGCGAGCTAAAGCCTGATTCTTAGATATCAAATGTTTAATTATGACGCCCAAAAAATAGTTTTGAATTTTAAATTTCCCAATGCGGTTCTCTTTATAATGTATGGCATGTGCATTCTAATATTATTGGAATGCACGTGCGAACTATCCTCCTAACACGCTTTATTATACATTTACTCATCTCCAGTTTTACTCTTACATTTCTAAGCTTTCAAATGAAATTTTTTCTTGAAGATTCATGGCTGACATGCAAACACTTTGTTGTGCCTAATTTGTCAGGTATTGGTCCAGCGAGCTCTGGCTGCAAAGAACATCAGTCACGCCAAAGCAGGTTCTATTTTGTTGGGATATCTGAAAATGCTACCCATGTTTTTAATGGTATACCCAGGGATGATCAGCAGAATTCTCCATACAGGTATGGTTGCTGCGCATGCATGGTCTCGAGTTGAAATTGGTCTCCCTATGTTCTTTCGTTTTGAGTGTAAAGTAAAATGTAGTATTGCATCGTACATTTGCACCAACACAGTACTTCCCATGTGTACAGAGTCTCGAGGGATGTGAGATTTCGACGCATGGAGCCGGGAATAGCCACTTGTGGCGCTGTATACAATCGAAACCTATTGAGGCTTGCCTACGCTCATTCAGACTTGAGTCTAAAGGAAAAAAAAAACAGTTGTTAAA